GTTTTGTTTGGTTTTAAATCGGAAGGCATTGGGCCAGCAGGTGGCATGGGGGGTTTAAGGCGCTGGCCAGACAGCAGGTGGCCAACCACGTTTTTGAGTCCCAAAGCCGAAGGCTTGAAAATCACTCCAGGCACGGGTACGCGTATGCCCAGACTCCAGAAGGAGGATGAAGGAGAAGGGATCCTGGCATGGCTGCCACCCCCGGGGGGCGATTTCTCGCTTTCCCTCTCACTCTCTGGTGAGCACATACGCCCTACGGCAAAAACCTAGAATGAAATAAAGAATACGCGCAGAGGTAGTGACGTCCCACACACTGAGTGTGAAGCCACGGCAGGCATCTGCTCCTGGGGCCACCACGCTTCTTCGTTTGGGTTTTAATGAAGAAATAGAAAATTTTATTATTTCTTATGTTGCTGCAAAGCTGTTGCTTCGACTGTATAAAACAGCACCAGCAAACGCAGCAAGACTGAAGTAGGACTGCCCTTCAACACCGTACGACAAAACTTCTCTCCTCTCCCGGTGATTTCCAATAGGGAGAGAATTAAGTATCCTGATGCGAACCGAGGGTGGTTATAAGCAAATCACAGTGCTCTATAAAGCTTAGGGTAACAGTGCTATTGCTAACTACATCATTTTTATAACTCATTTTTTTTTCTTTTGGAGAGGTTTTTGCTATAGGGAGCGAACGCTCGCCAGAGCGAGAGACAGAGAGACAGAGAGGGAGAAATCATCTCCCCGGGGGGGTGGCCATTCCTCATGCACATGCCAACACACCCAGCGACATGGCCGTTATGCCAGCTGCTGGTTCCATTTACAATTAGTATCTATCAAATATTGTGGTAGGCAGACAATGGTGAGCAGGCAGCCCTAAGAGAAAAGCGAAAGGCTCCTCTAGCTCCGGGTGCCAGGAGGGCGAGGCAATTTGCCATCTTCCTTCCTTGAGGCCTGAGGGAAGTGCACAGGGATGATTCGTAGATTTTTCTCTTATCAAAAAGGACTAAGCAAGCGTTTTGGTCTATGCCCCAATTCCTATTAGGGCGATGGACTAACTGGGTAGTCTAATTGGGGCAACCTGGCTCCATTGGGCACCCTGCGCAATTAGGTGATCAAGTTCCTCATTCTTTACCTGTGAGGAAGGTGCAGGTGCAGGAAAGAACCTGTGGATTCAAATTTAAAGGAAGGACTTAGGCAGCGTAAGGGGCCTCCAACTAATGAATATTCATGACCGCTAGTAAGAAAATAAGGGTAGCTAGGCACAAGCGCGGCCGCCACCTGGCAATCTGCCCGCCCAACAGCCTTTTGGGTGTACTTCCTTTCTTTCTATCAAATCTTTTTTTCTACCTACTTCGTTCGTGGTTGCAGTTTCATTTTGCGCCTAGGGACAGGTCTCTAATTTTAGTGATCTGGACTTCACAAGGCAGCTCCACACTCTCCCATCCGTTAAGAGCATCATTTCCTGAATTCTGAATACTTGAGCCTAGACTGACTCGGAATACGTGTGTTCATTAATAATACGAATCCTTAGAAAGTTAAGGGGCATTTCTCTCCAGCAGTGGCGTGCAGAGTCGTTTCCTTTTCCGCTGGCATTGCTAAAAGTTGCAATTTTAGGTCCCTTCCAGCCACCGACTGAAGCCGGCTCTGCGGGACTCCGCGGTCTCACGCTGCCCAGGGGTCTCCGCTCAGTCCATCTCGTCCTGCGGCGCCCCGGGTGCCGGCTTGCTGAGCCAGCGCCATCGCGAGGTGACCATCCAGGTTTGGATTCGGTGACTCCTGGACGGGAGGGTGGCGCTCCCCGGCCGCCCCCACACCCTCCAGAGCGCACCCCTCCTTCCGGCGGCCCGCCTGGCGCAGACGGCGCGCGCAGCGGCTCCCGCGCCTCCTGG